TGGGCAGCCGCGTCAGCCCGTCCTGGCAGCAGCGCCTGGCCTCGGGGGAAGTGTACTGGCCCACTGCAGGGCCGGGGTGAGCGCCGGGCGCCTCCGCCCACTCGGACGGAGGGCCCACTGGGAACGGGGAGCTCAGGAGGCCGCGCAGAGGCTCCCGCCCGACCACCGCCAACCCAGGGCTTGGCCCTCTGACCCGGAATCCCACGGCCCCGGCCCTCGAATCCCACAGCCCCGGCCCTCTGGGCCGGAGGAGCCGAGAGGCAGACCCCTCCCCCTGAGCCTGGGGCGCAGGCAGCTTCATGGGCACCACCACTCACACTTCTCGCTAACTGCTTTGTGGAAGTTCACGTTTCTCCTTCTCCGGGTTTTCTGCTCCTTGGGACAGCTCAGGCCTGGGAGAGAGCAGGCTGCAGCCGAGCCCTTGCCTGCCTCCCTCCTCCCATCTTACCCCTCAGGGTCCTCCTCCTCACTCTGCCTCCCACCACCCATCCCACTTCCTCCAGTCTCACTATTTCTGGTCGAAGTCCATTGGGATCCATCTGAAAAGGCCAGACCAGCCGCCTCGAACACCTGCTGTGCACTGTCCCCACCCCCAGGCCCGCACCCCAGGTCGTAGCCGCTCATGACTTGGAAGACCTGGCCAGAAAAGGCGGGCTGTTGCAGAGACAAGATGGCTGAGGGGCAGGGCGGGCTGTGGGTGAGGGCGGATGGACAGATGTGAGACACAGACAGTGGGGGAGGGAGGCGTCCGAGAGGACAGGGAGGGCTGGGGGAGGGCCTTCACAAACCTTGCCCATGTCCAGGGGCTTGTGGGCCCGGCCGCCCGCGGCGTACAGCGCCGTGTCCACGGCCCCCAGGGCCACCAGGGCCGCAGAGTCCGTGTGCAGCTGGAGCTTCAGCGTGTCCCCAGGGCGATAGTCCTTGTGACTGTCCACACTCAGCTCCAGCTGCAGGGCCGGAGGGGGGTCAGATGGGGCGTTCTTCTCGTCCTCTCCTGCCCCTCCCCAGCCCTGCACGTTACCTTGCCCTCACAGGCCCCAGCCTGCACGTCCACCCGCAGGGAGTTGGCCACGGGGCGGCCCTCGTGGTAGTAGAAGGCCACGAAGTAGAAGGCGGGTGCCAGGCGGTGGTCCACAAACACGGAGGCCGAGGTCAGGGCCCCCCTGGGCTCTCGGTCCACAGACACGATCTGTCCCCGGGACAGGACCTGGGAGAGGGGTTCCTCTTCACTGCGCCTGCCCCGCCCGGAACCACCGCCCCCGGCTCCCTCCCGCCGCCACCCTCTGCACACCAGGTAGTAGAAGTGGGAGAAGCTGGCCCCCTGGACGCCCACGGCTCGCAGGTTCAGGCGGAAAGTGTCCCCAACTCGAGGGGGGCGAGGATCCAGCCGCTCCAGGGACAGGAAGCCGGAGCTCCCGGAGGGCGGGGCTCTCGCGGTGAGCTTGGCTGTGGCGGGGTGGGGGGAGCCTGCGGATACCTGGAGGAAGGGGTCGGGAGCAGCAGGGTCGGTGCCAGGACCCAGGCACCAGCTCCTCCCCTGCCCTCCCGGCCCGCCGTGCCCCGTGGGCGCTCGGGGTCCTACCGAGAGCTGCACTTCGGAGGAGGTGGGCGGGACGTTGATGGAGTCGAGGACTTGGCCGCGCTCGTCCGTGTTTCGCTGATGGAGTATCTGGGAAGCAGATCCCGGAGAGAACGTGGCGGCCACTTTGACAGGAATGTTGGAGGCGGGGGCGCCTGACATGTCCCGGACCAGTGCCTGGGGGTGGAGGGGAGGTCAGAGAGAGGAGGGGCCGTGGGCCTCCTGCGGAGGCCCCCCCCGTGCCCTCCCGCCCCGCCGCGCCCCCCGCGGAGGACACCTGCAGCAGGAAGGGGGCCCCGGGCACGAGGTGTCGCTTGGTGTGGCTGAGGTCCAAGGAGAAGGGGGATGACACAAAACGCCAGGATGTGAGCTCCGCCTCCTCCAGCTCTCCCCCTGCAAGACACGGCAGACGGCGGGAGGAGGCAGGCCCAGGAGAGGGGCCTCCGGGGCACAGGCCATCTCTCCTCGCTGGTCCGCAGAGCCACCCACGGCCAGCACACAGATGCTGCAAAACACGCCTGGTGGGAGGACGGGTGGGAGGACAGAGGAATGGACGGATGAGCAAAAACAATAAACAGAGGGGCTTCCGGCTGCTTCCCGGTTTGGGTCCCACGTGGGTAAGAAGGGCGGGCGGGCGGTGCTGGAGGGCAGAGGGCCGCTCAGAGGTCAGAGGGGTCGGAGTCACCGCCCGGCGACACTCACCTGGAGACTCGATGACGGCCGCCGCCACGTAGAGGCGCAGCCCGGGGAGGTCCGCCGGCTGGACGCCGAGCTTCTCCAGGGCGCCCTGCACCTCAGCCTTGGCGAGCGAGATGTGGCACTGGCCCTCCGCCAGCTGGGCAGAGAGGAAAAGGCCAGGTAACACCCGCCTCCCCCCTCCACGGTCACCTCCGCCCCTCGCCCTGCTGCCCACCTTGGTCTGATTCTCCAGGCCGCGAAGGAAGGTCTTCTTGCCGCGCTCATCCAGGATCCCGAAGCGCACGTAGGCCACCCCCTGCACCGGCTTCCCATAGACGTACCTGCACACAGGGCGGCGGGCAGGGGTGAGCGTGGCGGGCGGCAGCGTGGGGGAGGGAGGGAAGTGGCACACTGAGGCGCCCTGGCAGCAGTTACCTGGCCTGGATGTCCAGCTGGATGTCCCCAAGAACGCCAGGCGCTGTCAGGATGTAGGGCTCCCCAGGCACGATCTTCACCTCGAAGTTGGGAAGGACTGACCCGAGCGAAGGGGAGGCTGGTCAGACTCCAGGGCAGGGCTTTGAGGACTCCCTCCACCCTGCCTCTCCCACCCTCCTCCCTTCTCCTTCAGGAGGAGCTGCCTGGCCCTCGGCCTGTGTCCCAGCTCTCACTGTCCTTTTGTTTGGTTAATCCTCAGCCGAGGACTTTTGGCATTGATTTTCAGGGAGAGTGGAAGAGAGAGGGAAAGACAGAGAGAAACATTGATGTGAGAGAAACACATCGACTGGTTGCTTCCTGCATGGCCCGGGCCGGGGAGGAGCCTGCAACAGAGGCACCTGCCCTTGGCCAGAATCGAACCCGGGACCCTGCCAACGCTGTATCCACTGAACCACACTCACCGTACTTCTTCACCTCGAACTGGGTGCTGTAGTTGGAGTCCGGGCTGTCCAGGAATCTGGCCGAGATCTTCCAGGTCCCTGGCCTGAGGACAGACAGGGCGGGCTCAGCCACGCTCCCTGGGGAGGATGTGGGGTAACCACAGGCTCGGGGGCTCGGGTCTGACACTGTGTTGGCGTGGGGAGCAGGGGAACCAGGAACTGGGGGCAGGAGCTCACTCTGAGATGTCCGGGATCACAAAGTCATCCTGGTAGATGGAGGAGGGAGTGTACACCTGCCTCTTGCGCACGCGGAGGCCCTGCGAGTTCTGCACGGAGGACAGTGTGGTGGGTGGGAGGGCACATCAGTAGCCCTAGCTGATCGGGAAGGTCAGAGGTCAGGGACTCACCTCCACGGTGACCGTGAGGCTGTCTGTGGTCGGGCGCATCTTTTGGTCCAGAGCGAAGACCCGGTACCGAACTGGAGCGGAGGGCGAGTGAGCGGCGTGATGGAGGGAGGGAGGGGAGACGAGCATTAGCCAGGCAGCCTTCCGTGGGCCCTTCCCGGGGACGGGGCAGGGGAGGGGAGGGAGAGGCCTGGGGCTGAGACTCACCCCGCTGGCCAGGGTTATAAATGGGCTGGTCGGTCTGCAGGAAAAGGTGCCCCCGGCGAGAGGAAAAGAGCAGGTTGACGCCCTGAGTGTCCACCTCTTTGGACAGAGCGCGCTTCAGCCACGGTGTCTGGGCCACCAGCTGGATCTTGGGGCCTCCAAGGAGGCTTTTGAGGCCACAGTTGTTGGCATCCTTGGGGAGTATCTGTCAGGTGAGGGGGGAAGGGTGAGAGACAGAGACAGCCAGGGACGGAGGCCGCCGCAGAGGGCCCAGGCGCGGAGGGCCGGAGCGGGCTGAGGCAGCGGGGCGGCGGCTACCTGGAGGCTGCGGAGCACGAAGTCTTCCTTCGAGGTGAGGAGGAAGTCCACCTTCGGGGAGCAGGGGGCATTGTGATGGGACGGGTTTCTCAGGAACACGGACCCTCTCACTTCCAGCCCCTGAGGAGCATCCTGGAGCTGGAGCCCCACCGACAGGGGGGCCCCCAGGTGAACCACGGAAGGGGAGAACAGGAGCAACCTGGGGAGAAAAGGCAGGTCAGCAGCGCCCCCCCCCCCCGGGCCCTAGCCCCCATCCCCGCTCAGCAGCTGCCGCCCGCCAGGACCTGGGCTCCTGCAGAGACAAGGCGAAGCCAGACGCCCAGATCAGCCCCCAGAGGAGCCACATGGCTGCAAGACCAGGAGCGACCAGACCCGTCTGTCTGTCTGCTCCCCTCTGGCCGGCCTCGTGCTCGGAGCAGAGTAGACTCTGGACCTTGCTCCTCCCCCGGCCAGCTAGAGCCGGGAAACCACGTGACAACCAAGAAATGCAACTGGCCCCAGGCCCAGTGTTGGGGGCAGGGGGGCACCCCGGACACCTGGGTCAGTGAGGAAATCATGGCCCAGAGGTCCTGTTCTCCCCTTCCCTCCCCCACCCCCACCCGTTACCCCCAGGCCAGTGCCTGGGCACCTCCCCTCCTGGGCATGTGGTGTCTGTACCGAGGCATCCCGGGCGGGGCAGCAGCGGAGGAGCGAGGCTCCTAGCCAAACCCTGACAAAACAGGCGACAAGATGCCGGCCTCCCACTGAAGCCCACAGGGGGGCTTGGTTAGGCCTCTGCTTCCACAGGCCGACAGAACCCCGTGGTTAGTCAGGCCCACTGCCCACACCCACCACCCACTGACCTCCACCCTTTTCCTCCGAACAACGAGGCCAAGGTCAGCCCCAGTGGGGGCTTTACCTCTCCCCCCGAGCGCAGAGACACCCAGCACATTAACAAGACACAGGAGGGAGCACCAGCAGAAGTCCTTTATTCGCCATTCCTTCCAACATGTAGGGCAGAGCCCCGCCCCTGCCCCTCGGACGTGCCAGCAGCACCGTGCTGCCCGGAAGGCAGCGGCCGTGGCCTCACGTCCACAGGCCCCGAGGCACTGCCCAAACCCGCCCTGCCCGGAGCCCAGGCCAACGGCAGCAGCGACGCCCCGCACAGCACGCCCTCCGGTCCGCGGCGCATCCTCCTGGCCGAGCTCCCCAAGGTGACCTGCTCAGCCGCCTGGCAGCACGCCTGGCCCCGGCCCTCCGCAGGCTTGCCGCGGGGTGCAGACCCTCACGTCTCTGGCAGGCGCAAGAGGGTTCCAGAAGTGGTGGGGACACTGCAAGAGAAAGATAAGGTGGGTCCAGACGCGCCGGCCCAAGGTCTGAGAATCGGCACGTGGCCAGGAACGTTCGGTCCCCAGGAGGAGCGGGCTTCCCTGGAGAAGGGAACCCTCCGCCGTGGTGGCTGCTCTGACTGCCAGAGGCTGGGCAAGACTCACCAGTCCACCAGCTGGGCCCCGATGAGGTCGTGCACGTGGTAGGCAAGGCCGAGTCTCACCGAGGCAGGCGCCCGCCGGCCCAGGAGCTCCGACAGGAGCAGCTCCCGGTACTTGGCCTTCCGGACCATGCCAAGGACAGCCTGGCGCCCTGCAGAGTGGCAGGAGCGGGGAGTAAGGCCTGCTGCCAGAGGAGCCCGGAAAGGTGTGCTGGAGGGCGGAGGGCTAGGCTGCAGACAGAATACCTTTCACAAAACACTTAACGAATCTCCCAGCTCCAGGCACAGCTAGCCACCAGCTCCCGGCATCTCGGACAGTGAGCACTCCGGCGTTGACCAGCTGCCTAAGCGGGTGGGAAGCAGGAGAGATGAGGCCTTGGCTCTGAGAATCCTCTCTCCTCGCTGCTAATGTTGGAAACATGGGCAACCAGGCAACAGACACCTCCTCCCGCCCCTGCCCAGCGGGTCACTGGTCCCATCCGCCATCCAGCTGCCCTCCCGCACTCTCTCTTCCTGCGACTTTTTCCTAAAACCAGTCTTGATACCTCCCTGACCACAAGCCCTGACGCACGCTCAGTCCCGCCCACAGGGGAGAAACAGGGTCTTTTCCTGTGTCCCTGCCACTGCCTACGCCGCCTCAACACAGCTCCTCCACGTCTACTGACATGTCCCGTGGCGCACAGCAGGGACATTTCCCTCTCGCTGCCCGGCTGCTGCTCTGGAATGAGTGGTGGTGCCTGCCACTCGGGTCTGTCTCAGCGTGAGTCACATCAGGCATGTGGTCCCTGCCAGGCCTCTACATGCATCTCACTAGCCACGCTGACAGCCTGAATTTAAGTCCAAGGCTCCAGTGAGATGGGCCTCTCTTGGGGAAAGGAAACAAATTTAGACTTAACTAAAAAAATAAAATAAAAGTCAACCGTTGGGCAGGTTCAGCAAAAGGAAAAGGGCCAGGCCGGAAGGGGGAGGCAGGAGGGTACAGATGCCGGATGTGATTGGCCCAAGTCTCACGTGATCTCTGTGTCCCTGAAGCCAAAGGTCTGCGTCATCTGGTCCTGCTGGAAGCTAAGGTCCCCGCAGGCTGGGAGCACCAAGGCCAGGAACTTCTGCACGGCCCCTGCGTAGGCCCGGCCGTCGCAGGCCCTGAGGACCTGGAACAGGGGGGAGAGGCTGGGGACGTTCTCGGCATGTGGGAGGCAGATCCCTTGTGCTCAGTCCTCTCCACCTCACACCCTTCCCCCCATCATACCAACCAGAGCCCTGCGCCCTGGGAGGAGGCGTGGCCTGGGAGAGCCGCCTGCCCCGCGCCCGAGCCACACGCACCCTGGTCCTGTAGTCCTCGGTGAGAACAATCCCATGGGCATCCAGGTCGAAGCCCAGCTGGATGACTCTGATCTCCCCCTGTTCCTGAAGTTCTTTCTGTTTCCAGAAAGATGGGGTGAGAAGAAGGGTGTCAGGGTGAGATGCGGGGAGTTTTTCTCCAAGTAAAGGAAAACTGTGGGGAGAGAACCGGGTGAGTCACCGAATAGGATTTCCCAGTTGGGTACCCACCCTCCCACGTGAAACTATCAGTGCACCTTTTCTAAGACTGAGCTTACGCCAGACGCTAAGTAAGATAAAACAGTGATTAAGACACAGACCCTGAGCGTCAACCTATGAACCAGGAGGTCACGGGTTGATTCCCAGTCAGGGCATGCTCGGGTTACGGGCTCAACCCCCAGGAGGCAGCCAATCATTGATGCTTCTATCTCTCTCTGCTTCTCCCTTCTTCTCTGAAATCAATAAAAATATATGTATATTTTAAAAAAGATACAGACCCTGCCCTCAAGGAATTAACAGTTCAGACTGTGGGCAGAGGAAAGTAGTGAAGAATATGGGATAATGCCGAAACTGGTTTGGCTCAGTGGATAGAGCATCCGTCTGCGGACCGAAAGGTCCCCGGTTCGATTCTGGTCAAGGGCATGTAACTTGGTTGTGGGCACATCCCCAGTAGGGGGTGTGCAGGAGGCAGCTGATCGATGATTCTTTCTCATCGATGTTTCTGACTCTCTATCCCTCTCTCTTCCTCTCTGTAAAAAATCAATAAAAATATATTTTAAAAAAAGAAAAGAATATGGGATAAAATGTTTAAAACAAATAAAAATCTACCAGGATTAGTGTTTCTAAGAATACAGCAAGAACCAACTCACCTGCTGAAAATTAATTAAAATGCTGGATAAAATATTTTTTAAATTGTTAAGCATCAAAGAGCTCACAAATAATACGTCAACAAAAGAATTCATCGAAATAATTGGGCTCTGTGGCCGGTGTGGCTAGGTGGCTAGAGCATTGGCCTGAGCACTGAAGGGCGCAGGTTCCATTCCTGGTCAAGAGCACATACGTGGGTTGCAAGATCGATCCCCGGTGGAGGCAACTAATTGATGTGTCTCTTACATCGATATTTCTCCCTTCCACTCTTTCTAAAAATCAATGGAGAAAAAAATATCCTCGGGTGAGGATTAACAACAATAAAGATGTAATTGGAAGATGGAGGGCATTTGATGATTTAGGCCAGTGGTCAGCAAACTCATTAGTCAACAGAGCCAAATATCAACAGTACAATGATTGAAATTTCTTTTGAGAGCCAATTTTTTTTTTAACTTAAACTATATAGGTAGATACATTGTTATTAACTTAATTAGGGTACTTCTAAGCTGGCCTTTGCTAAAAATTCAAGGCACCAAAGAGCCGCATGTGGCTCGTGAGTTGCAGTTTGCCGACCACTGATTTAGGCAAATCTGTCCAGCAAAGTAAAAAATAACTAGACAACCCTAGCCAGTTTAGCTCAGTGGATAGAGCATTGGCCTGTGGACTGAAGGGTCCCAGGTTCAATTTTGGTCAAGGACACATGTTCGGGTTGCGGGCTCAATCCCTAGTAGGGGACATGCAGGAGGCAGCCAATCAATGATTCTCATTGTTGATGTTTCTATTTTTCTCTCTCCCTCTCCCTTCCTCTCTGAAATCATAACTATATATATATTTTTTTAATATATTTTATTGATTTTTTACAGAGAGGAAGGGACAGATATAGAGATAGAAACATCGATGAGAGAGAAACATCGACCAGCTGCCTCTTGCACACCCCCCACTGGGGATGCGCCCGCAACTCAGGTACATGCCCTTGACTGGAATCGAACCTGGGACCCCTCAGTCCATGGACCGACGCTCCACCACTGAGCCAAACCGGTTTCAGCCATAACAATATATTTTTAAAAATAATAACTGAGCATAAATAAATGGACACACAAGAAAACAAAATTCAAAAGAAACAGACCCCATAAGACATGTTATTAGGGAATTAACAAAAACAGACTACTAAAAAACCCCTATGTTTATAATGCTTAAATAACAACAGTCAAGATAGAATTTTTTTAGCAAGAAATTATATAAACTGACACAATATGTTGAAAAATAACCAAATAGAAGTTCTAGAACTGGCAAGTGCAATTAAGGACTCAATGGATGGGTTAGGGTTAGGGTTAGGATTAAGGCACAACTAAATAAAAAGCTACTAGCCTGTAAGACAGATTCTAAAAAACTAACCAGGATATAATACAGACAAAAAGACTGAAAATGCAGACAAGAAGCTAAAAAATGTAAAGGATACAAAGAGAAGGTCCAATATATGTGTAATTGAAGTCTAGGGAGGAATGAAAAGAGATAAGGTAGGGGAAATATTTGAAAAGACAATAATACATCCACAATCACAAACTTTCACTCACTCATAGAACAAACAGACAAAATAATCAGTGAAGAACCAGAAGACTTCAATAGTAACTCTAATTACTGAGAAATTAATAACTGAATAACGCATATTCTTTTCAACTACACATACAATATTTAGCGAAATTGACCATGAAACATAGCATGAAGCAAGTCTCAAGTTTCAAATGAGGAAAATCATACTGTATGCTCTCTGGCCACTATATCACTTATGCCAGAAATAAGTAACAATCCTATCCTATATAATAAAAGCCTAATATGCAAAGTGTCCAGTAAACTGGACAGCCATTCAACCAATCAAAGCTTAATAGGCTAATAATTTGCTAAGGTACCGTGTTTCCCAGAAAATAAGACATCCTCCGAAAATAAGACCTACTTACAGGTTTCCTTCTGAGTGAAATATAAGGCATCCCCCCGAAAATAAGCCCCCCCCCCCAGGCTAAACATGAGAGATTTGGTCCACTGATTCTGAAAGAAATGGAGTCACAAGAAATTCACCAGGAAATTCAGGAATTGGATTGTTATGATGATGTTTCAGAAGATGATGACATGATTGTCATTGAATAAATGAGTAAATTCTTGATACTGTAGGATTCAGTTTGTCTGGTTTGTGTTGACAACTACCGTACTACCGTACCGTATACAGGTAATAAATTTCCTTTATTTTCATTTAACAATAAATGTGTACCATATTCTTCTTCATGGAAAAATAAGATATCCCCTGAAAATAAGACCTAGTGCATCTTTGGGAGCAAAAATTAATAAAGACACTGTCTTATTTTTGGGGAAACAGGGTAGCTCAACCACTCCGTATGCCATGCACTGACCAGGGGACAGACTCTACTACCTGCAGGTTAGCTTGCTGCTGGGGTCAGTTTGCTGCTGGGTCTGGGGAGAGACTGAGCGAAATGGTCCCCACAGGCCCTGGAGCCCTCTCTGTCCCTCCCTGGCTGGCCAACCTCCGTGTCTCTTCCCACCCGATCGTGCAAGGGGCCTCTAATAAGGTAATAAGAAAGCGCTTTGAAATTAAGGCATATGTTACTAATAACCCAATAAGTCAAAGGGGGAAAACACAGGGCAAATTAGAAGACATTTGGAAATAAATGATAATGAAAACATATACCAAAGCTTGGGAGGATAGAGAGATGAATCTGAATCTCAATATTTAGTGGAAAACTACAGCCTGCCATGCATTTATTAGAAGAGAGAGGATTGCCGAAACCGGTTTGCTTCAATGCATAGAGCTTGGGGACTGAAGGGTCCTGGGTTCGATTCCGGTCAAGGGCATGTACTTTGGTTGCGGGCATATCCCCAGTAGGGGGTGTGCAAGAGGCGGCTGATTGATGACTCTCTCTCATCGATGTTTCTATCTCTCTCTCTCTTTTCCTCTCTGTAAAAAATCAATAAAATATATTTTAAAGAGAGAAAGAGAGAGAGGATAAAAGTTAGTGGGGTAAAGTAAAACAAACTCAACAGTAGAGGGGAAGCAGATGAATGAAGCAGAAAACATGCAAACAAGAGAGCAACAAAGCTGAGAGCGGTGGGCTCTTTGGGAGACATTGACATTGACACGCCGGGTGCCAGGGAGGAGGAGCGGAGAAGCCAGTGAAGGGGAAGGAGAGGCCGCGGTCCCGACCCCACCAGCGCCGCGCCAGCGGGTCCCCGGGCCGGCTCGCTCCGCCGCCCTCACCAGCTGCCGGTCGGCCGCCGTGCGGTCGGGCACGAGGCTGTACACCTGGCTCCGCAGCGCGATGGGCGGCAGCGCGTCCTCGAACAGGCCGCGCGGGAACAGCCGGCCCAGCTCCGCCACCGCCGCGCGCGCCGCCCCCGGGCCCGGAGGGCCGCCCCCCGCGCCCCGGGCCCCGGCCGCGCCCCCCGGGGCGTCGGCCTCGGCGCGCCCGCCTGCGCGCCGCCGCCTCAGGCCCAGCGGCTCGGCGCCCGGACGCGGCCTCTTCCGGCTCATGTCGCGGACCCGACGCCGCGGCCGTCAACCGAGGCTCCGGCGCGGCGGACGGACGAGCGGCCGCCCCGAGCCGGCCGGGCCCCGCCGGCGCGGAGTGATGGCGTCACCGAGCCGGAAGCCCGCGCGGCCCCGCGCTCCGGACCGGCCCGGGCTCCGCCGTCACACCCGCCGCCCGCCCCGCGGTTCCCGCCGGAGCCGGCCGCCCGCGCCTCCCCCGCCTCCTCCGCAGAAGGGACCCCCCGGCGCCCATGGAGCCCGGAGGGACCAAGCGGGGAGCCGGGGAGGTGGCGGCGGCTGAGCCGCGGAGCAAACTCCCGCGCCCCGCGCCCTCGCTGCCCACGGCCGCCGCGCTCTACGCCGGGCCCTTCCCGTTCTACCGGCGCCCCTCCCAGCTGGGCTGCTTCTCCCTGGACGCCCAGCGCCGCTACCGCGGGGACGCCCGCGCCCTGCGCTACTACCGCCCGCCCGCCAACGGCCAGCGCCCCGACTTCGACCTCAGAGACGGGTACCCCGAGCGGTACCGGCCGCGGGACGAGGAGGCGCGGGAGGGCCTGGACCACCTGCTGCGCTGGCTCCTGGAGCACCGCGGCGGGCTGGAGGGGTGAGCGGACCGGGCTGCCCGCCGGCCATCGGGAAGCCCGCGCGGGAGGGCCGCGGGGCTCGGCGGGAGCTCCGGAGCCTCTGAGCGGTGCTGGGTGGCCGTCAGCCTGTCCCTCCGCGCAGGGGTCCCGGCTGGCTGGCAGGGGCCATCGTGACGTGGCGGGGGCACCTGACGAAACTGCTGACGACGCCGTACGAGCGGCAGGAGGGCTGGCAGCTGGCGGCCTCCCGGTTCCAGGGGACGCTGTACCTGAGTGAGGTGGAGACGCCGGCCGCCCGGGCGCAGCGGCTCTCCCGGCCGCCCCTGCTGCGGGAGCTGATGTACATGGGGTACAAGTTCGAGCAGTACATGTGTGCAGGTGAGAGTCGCCCCTGCTCCGCAGCGCGCTCGCTCCCCCGGAGTCAGAGCCCCCACCCTGTTGCTGCTTCTCTCTGTACAGACAAACCTGGAGGCTCCCCCGACCCCTCTGGGGAGGTTAACACCAACGTGGCCTTCTGCTCTGTGCTACGCAGCCGCCTGGGAAGCCACCCTCTGCTCTTCTCGGGGGAGGTGGACTGCACCGACCCCCAGGCCCCCTCCCCGGAGCCCCCCGCCTGCTATGTGGAGCTCAAGACCTCCAAGGAGATGCACAGCCCAGCCCAATGGAGGAGCTTCTACAGGTTCTGGAGGGGGGCTGAGGTGACAGCTGGGAAAGGGGCTTGGGGGAAAGGAGGCGGTGCCCTGAGCCCCTCTTTCCTTACAGACACAAGCTCCTGAAATGGTGGGCGCAGTCCTTCCTCCTGGGCGTCCCCAGTGTTGTCGCTGGCTTCCGCAACCCCGAAGGTTTCGTCTGTTCCCTCAAGACCTTTCCCACCATGCAGATGTTCGAACACGTCAGGGTAAGGACCCCCACGCCAAGGCCCAGGTCCCGTGTCCAGGCCTGCAGGGTGTCCCTCTCCCACTCCTGCCCTCACTGTCTGCCTCCCCCTCGGCCCCCCCCCAGAATGACCGCGACGGCTGGAACCCTTCCGTGTGCATGAACTTCTGTGCCGCCTTCCTCAGCTTCGCCCAGAACACAGTCGTCCAGGATGACCCCCGGTGAGGCACCGGCCCTCCCTCCCCCTGGGCCCCGGGAGCCGGCCCCCAGCCCTCAGCTGCTGACTCCGTCCTCCCCGCAGGCTTGTCCACCTCTTCTCCTGGGAGCCCGGCGGCCCAGTCACCGTGTCTGTGCACCGGGACGCACCCCCCGTCTTCCTGCCCACATGGTACGTGGAAGCCATGACTCAGGAGCTGCCACCGCCCCCCCATGACACCGGCCCCTAAGGACTTATCCTTCCGGGGGGCTGGGCCTGTCTCTGTGCAGTTAAAGCAGACTTCCAGGTGGTGCTCCCTGCTGTGTCTTTGAGCGGTCACCCTGCCAGCACCTCACACACACAGGCGGTTTGCTGTTTTATTGCTATTCACTGGGTGTAGAGGCTGGCTGCAAAGACGATGTCCCTCCGCAGCAGGGTAGCCGCCGTCTCCATCTTGGCGCCCAGCACAGGCTCGCCCACCAGGCGGGCCGCCCCGCGCAGTGAGCGACACATCTCGGCCAGGCGCTGGATGCAGCGGACCACCAGGCCCTCAGGCGTCCCCGAGAGCCCTGCCAACTCAGAGAAGGGCTGTGGGGAAGCAGGCGGGGGCCACATTACAGACCTGGGCAGGCTGTCCCCACCGCTGCAAACCCCAGTCCAGCTACTCACCATGCCCCGGGCCCACTCGTACACAACCCCGACCAGCCCGAAATTCAGCTCCCCCACAAATTCTTCCACTGTCTGGTTCAGGCCGCAGGCCACCTGCACCTCTCCAATGCGCTTGGCCACAGCGCGCACACGCTCCACGCCCTGCAGGGCGAGGGACAGTAAGACCCCCTCCCGCTCCAGGACCAGCGAGGCTCAGGTCGGGAGAAGCCATCCCAGCTCTTAGGGGCGCTTACAGGGTTGGAGAGGTCACGGGCCCGGGGTGGGGCCTGGGAATACTGCAGCCAGGGGCGGGGGGCAGTACCTGTTTGAGGGTACTTGGGAGCTGCTCCCCAGTGTCCCCCGGGCTCTGGCAGACCAGGCCGGAGAGCAGGGCGGCGATCTCCTCCGGCCGCAGGGCACTCAGGGCGTTGTCGAACATGAGCTCAGTGAGCAGCAGCTCGTGGCTGCTCATGGCACAAGCCACACGCCCCGCCAGCTTCACGGTGCCCGCCTCATCTACGTAGCCCAGCGTTCGGAGCACCTGGACGGAAGACGGCGGGTGTCAGAAGCCGCTGTTCTCCCTCACTAGCCCCCACACACTGCCCTCACCTCTACTCGCTGGTGGTACTCGGGGAGCAGCAGCAGCGACTGGTCTGACAGCAGGAAGCGTAGCCGCTCTATCTCCTTCTGCACCTGCCGCCGCTCCTGCAGCCTCAGGTACTGTGGAGAGCCACAGGCAGGGCGGGTCAGCGTCCCCCCGCCCTCCAGGGGCTGCAGGACCGGGCTGACACGGGGGCAGGCAGCCTGCAGGGGACCAGAGACAAGGCTTAGAAGCTGGCCCCCAGGGCCCTACCTGAGCAGGGAAACGGGGGCTGTGCACGCACTGAGCCCCCCGGATCAGCTCCTCTAGCTTCCGGGCCCGGAGTCCCCCCTCAACCACGGACACATCCTTAAGCTGCAAGTCGTTGACAGGGTCAAGGGTGGGGGGTCCCGCCGGGTGGGCCTGTGCCAGGCGCAGCAACTCCTGGGCAGCAGTGGTCACCGCAGCGAGGGGAGGGTCCTTCCTGAGGAAGCAGCAGGTCCTGAGACGTCTCTTCCATCAGCGCCCCTCAGGCTGTGGGCCTCCCAACCACACCCCCCACCCGGGTCCCTCCTGGAAAGGGCCTCCCAGCATCAGACTTGAATTTCGGCTGCTGCCTCTTGCTGAAGTCCTCCAAGATCTTCTCCCCGTTCACCCGGAGCACCCTGGTGGTGATGGCAGCCACGTCTCCGGGCTGGAGCCTGGCCACCGTGTGGTCACAGGGCCCTGGAACAGACGGCAGGGTCCGAGCTCGCCCCGAGGCCTGCCCTCACTGCCCTGGGCACCGGCGTCTGCTCTCACCTTCAGGCAGGAACAGTTTGAATCCCACCAAGTCGTCTGGGTAGGGCACAGCGGGGGCGGCCGGGCGCCCCTCCTGTGGGTCCTCAGACGCGGGTTTATCACACAAGACCAGGGTGGTGAACACTCTGCTGGTGGAGTTGGAGGAGACCTGGGGGACGGGAGGCCCGGACAGGGCATCGTGAGGCATGGACGACAAGGTCGAGAGCAGATCCCACCTTCAGCAGGGATCACGGAGTAGCCACGCAGAGCCCACCCGTACAGACCAAGTCAAGCAAGCAGCGGGCGGCATGGGGGTGCAGGGGAGGGCAGAGGACACCGAGTGGTGGTGATGGGAGGGAAGATGAGGGCACCGCTAGGGTAACTGCACCTCCCTGGGCCCAGACCCTGCATCACCTGCAGGACCACCCCCAGTGCGTTGTGATGCTCCTGACTCTTCACAACCACCACCCTTCCGGCTGAGAGCGACTTCAGCCCGTTGACAGACTCCATGACACGTCGCTGAAGAGCGGGAATGTGCACACGGGAGGAGGAGCAAGTGTTAGGGATGTGGGGACCAGTTCAGGAGCACCCCGGGTGCCACCTGTCTCCCTCCCCTCCCCGTCCCCCGCACGCCCTGCTGACCTGGATCAGGCTGCGGGTTTCTGTCAGCTCCTCTCCCCAGCTGTAATACTCAGGCAGGTCCGCCAGCTGGCCCGTCAGGTCAGGCTCCTCCAGGGCCTCCAGCTTCTTGGTTAATTCAGCCAGAGCCTGTTCGTGGGCCTGGCAGGCGTGAAACGAGTCTCCAGGCTCAGTCGCCACATCCCACCTGCCTCCGCATGCCACCTCTTCCCAGCCGGCTTCCCCGTCCGTCCAGGCTGGGGTACTGCTCACCGACCCCTCACCTTGCTGTCCTTGCGGGATGGGAACTCGGAGAAGCTCCTCTTCATCATGTCCTCCACCCGGAGGGCGTCCACCCGCAGGAGGTTGAGGATCATGGTGTACGTGAGGCGGAACTGAGACTGCAGCTGCGAGGGCTTACCCTGCGGGGCGGGAGACCAGGCTGGGCCCCCTGCTCCCGCCCAGCCCCGCGGACCACCTGCCCGTGGCACCCTGGACGCCCTGCCCGCTCCCCTCTTCTGCCAAATAGGGAGCAAAGTGGACAGATCCCCAAAGGTCCCGCTAGCTCTGCACTCGGTGGGACTAGAGACCGGTCTGGCCCTTGTCTGCTCCCTCCCACCTGGGCTTCCCAGCAGGAAGGAGGGAGCCGGTGGGCGGGAAGGCCGGGCCGGCGGCTCACCGTCATCATGCGGTGCAGGTCCACCATCTCGGGCACGCGGCCCTTGCAGAGCAGGATGACGGTGCCCGTGGGGTCCAGGCCCCTGCGGCCCGCCCGGCCCGCCATCTGCACGTACTCCCCGGGGAGCAGGTCGCGGA